TTGGTCAAAGCATACGCATGTCCACGAGCTCCGAGCCTTGTCAATCATACTCTTTTGAGCGCGGCCTTCCCTCCTACCAAGTGCATGCAGAATTGTCGGCACCCGAGCCTAACCGTGTCAAAACGTTTCGGTTAGCTGATCGTAGTCGCAACGTCGCTGGCTGATCGGGATCGATACAATTTAAATCATCTCATATGGGGTTCTTGTATGCGAAATTACCTGTCGAAAAATATAGAGTCCCTTCAAACCGAAGATAAACATTACTCATCTTCGAAGTTCGCTATTACCTTCGACCTTCAACAAACGGCGCCAATTTAAAACCCACCAGGCGGCGTCTTTTTTTGTACCACCATCCTGAACATACAAACATCAAGCTATAAAACTCATGAGGCGGTTGGTATTAAATGACGCGGATCGCGATTGTGTGTGCAATGTGGCCAATTGCGCGACGTGCCATGTCCCGGCGACGCTCGCTACAGTCGCTGACGACGGCGGCGGCGCCGAATGAGGGGCTCTCGACGACGACGATGGGGCTGCTCATCGGCGGCGGTGTCGTCATCTTCGTGCTCCTCATCAGCATCGTGTGCCACCTGCAGGCCAAGGCCAAGCGCCGGGACAAACTGCTCCGGCGCGAAGCCCAGCGCATACAGGAGACGCGCGCGATGATGCAGTACGAGCTGCAGTCGGACGTCGAGCCCCATGTACAACTCGCCAACGACGTGCGCTTTGACCCGACGTTCGCTCACACGCGTATCCCCCATCACGAGCTTTTCAACCTTCGCCTCGTCCGTCCTTTCTGCAGCAGTCGAGTAGACTTGACTGAGCTTTCATAGGTGGCCAAGGGTCCAGGCACGGTCGTGTTTCGCGCTGTCTTCAATATGATGGAGATCGCCGTCAAGCAACTACTGCCGTCGCAGTGCAGCTCTCTCTTGACGGTCACGGACTTTATGCGCGAGATTCGCCTCTCGTCGACGCTCGAGCACCCCAACATTGTGCGCTTTATCGGCCTCGCGTGGACGGAAGGCCCAAGTCTCAGTGACCTCTCGCTCCTCACCGAGTTTATGCCCCATGGAGACCTCGCGACATTTCTTGCGTTTGAGCGCAGAACCCCGATAGCCGACCGTCGGCTCCTTGCCTCGTGGGAAGCGCATGTAAGGGTATCATCACGTCGTTTTAGTAGGTCTCATCAGTTGGTAGAATCCGTTGCTGTCGCACCAAAAGTCTCTCGAGCGAATGTCATCACAGACAACCAACGGTCAGACGACCACGAATGCCCATGGCAGCTTCAAGGCGCCCAAACACAAGCGGCAGCGCATCAAGCACGAAATGACAGGCCTTGGAACGTCCAAAATGACACTGGCCGCTGACGTTGCCGATGCGCTCTCGTACTTGCACTCGTTCCAGCCGACGATCATCCATCGCGACCTCAAGTCCAAGAACGTGCTCCTCAGCGCTACGTGGAACGCCCAGCTCAACGACTTTGGCTACAGTCGTGTGACCAGCCAGGACGAACTCATGACAATGAACGTCGGCACGATCGCGTGGATCGCTCCCGAAATCCTCACGGGCGGCCGGTACACGGAGCAAGCCGACATTTACAGCTTTGGCGTGCTCATGTCCGAGCTCGACACGCTCGAGGTGCCGTACATTGAGCACACGCGCGACTACGTACGCCTTTTGAGATGTCTGTATCGGATGTTGACGCTCGGTGTGTGTAGATCCAATCCAATCACCAAGAGCTCGAGAACCACTTGCACCACCCGCGTGTCAAAGCCAAAGCCAAGGTGCTTAGCAACGCGTTTATTGCGATGCTCGTCGGCGAAGGCAAGCTGACGCCGTCGTTCACGAGCCACATCCCCGAGGCACTGCTCGAACTTGCTCAGCAGTGCCTCTCCTTCCACCCCAACGACCGCCCGACAGCCATCGAGCTCTCGTACCGGCTGCGATCGACGATCAACACCATGACCGACTCGATGCGACCGTCGAGATAGACAACATGTACATCGTCTGTTTTTGTGTTGACAACACTCCAATTAAGTTATAAATCGTTGGTTGCAACGTTTTACGTCGTCATATGCATGTGTGAACGGTGTGTTGGGCAACCCAAGGGCCGATGCAGTAAATTGCTTCGTTGTTAGCTTAGAACTCTGCAGAATCCACATGTTGTCGCTTTGCCATTACATGACGCAGCTAGGTCTACCCAAGCGATCACTCCAAGTTTTAGCTATATCTATAGGGAAGTACCTGCTATAGTACAGAATGCAGAATAGTGGGTTCACGTCGGACAGAAAGCGACACCACGATACTTGGTTGTAGTAGTTTAAACATTACACCGGACACCGACCCGAGAGACGCGCATTATCTTTGAGTAGCAGTGCATGAATCTCCATCGAGATCTGTGACGCCGTTGGGCGCTTCGTGTACTTGTACTGGAGACATCGCTGCGCGATTTGGTGCAGGGCGTGCGGCACGTCGTTCGTGAAGGCCGGCTGGATCTTGCCTTGGGCGACTTTGCTCGCGAGCTGCGACGACGAGAGGCCCGTGATTTCGGGTTGCAGGTCTGGGTTGCTGTAGGGCGTCTGCAGCGTGTCGAGCTCAGCGAGAAGGACGCCGAACGAGTAAAGGTCGGCCTGCACCGTGTAGAGTTCGCCGCGGAGGATCTCGGGCGCGATCCACGCCGACGTGCCGACGCGCGCCGTCATGATCGCGTCTCCGTCCTCGTCGCTTTCTCGCGAGACGCCAAAGTCGGTTACTTGAGCTGTAAAGTCCTCGGTGAGCAAGACGTTCTTGGCCTTGAGGTCTCGATGGATGATCGAGAGCGAGTGCAGATAGACGAGTGCGTCGATGACGTTGGCGGCGATGCTAAGCTTATTGCAGCGATTCTCCGAAGTCCACGCCAGGGTTCGCATGCCGGCGGGTTGCTTGAGCTCGTGTCGAAGGAGGCGATGCAAGTCGCCGCGCGCCATAAACTCGGTCATCATCGAGAGGTCCTAACTAAGCTGCATCGTCTCGTTTGTAAATCTAGGTAGTACCTGGAGCGACGACCACGCGATGCCAACGAAGCGCACAATGTTGGCGTGGTCGAGCCGCGCTGCGAGTCGGATTTCACTCATAAAGCACTCGAGTTGGTCAATGTCCGACGTCTTCTCGGGCAAAAGCTGCTTGAGCGCGACACGAATAGGCCCATCAGACGTCTGCAAGTACGCGCTGAACACAAGGCCAAAGCCACCTACGTCATTTGATGACGTGCCCACCAACGTTTGCGCACCCTTGGACTTGAGTGTGATCTGCGAGAGCTGGTCTTGCTCAAAAATGTAGTCGACCATGTTCGGGTCGAGCCGCACGTCGTTGTCGAGGAAGAGGTTTTGGAGGTTTGAAGGCAACTTCTTTTTTGGCTGGGACCTAGGGCTCTCGTCATGACGTGGCGCCACGCGGTGCAGCGTACCCTTGTTTGCGATAGTAGTTGAGGTCCTTCTTGACGACATTCGTGCGCTTCAAGTGACGATAGACGCACATGCCGATGACAATGCACGTGACGAGCACACCGAGGACCCAGTAAATCGCAGAGCTGGCGGCAGTGCCTACGCATGTACAGTCAGAGACCACAAAAAAAACTGACTCGACGCAGAGTACCGTCAACGGACGCGTTGGCGACACTGGTTTCGCACTCGCTGCTGTCCCCGGCGATCGCCGTCAGCAAATTTGCCGACGAAGCGTTGAATTGACAGCCCTGCAGAAGCTTGGGCACTGTGAGCTTGTACGTGGTGCAAGCACTGCACTGCGAGACGGTCTTTGTGCCGCTTCGTGTGCAGGCCGCCTGGGAGGCCTGAAGCGTGTTGAAGACATCGACGCACGCAGGCAGGCAAAACGACGGCGTTAGGCGGGCGCCGAGTACCTAGCATGGACCTGAGAGAGCGATAAGTATTGGTGGTTGGTACCTTGGGAATGTCTGCGTCGGCGACGCCGCTGCACTGGTTTTGTAGCGCGACCTGCAGCGACGTGAGTTGCCGAACGCACGCAGGCTCGGCGCAGTACGTCGATGCATTCGTCGCCGGCTTCCCTGAGAGGAGGCAGGCGCGGCGGTCGACCCAGAAGGCCGCTAGCGTGTCATTGCACGCTGCCATGGCCGAGCCGAAATGCTCCGAGTTGATCGCAACACTCGTCTGTCAAAACGCGGCAACGCGTGAAAATCAGAATATTATTATTGCGCACTTGCGATAGTCCCACCACGAGGATAAGGCATTTAAATAGAATGAAATGTCGAATAATATGTAAAGGAGACCCTGGAAAGGCCCGTTCGAGACGAGCAGATGGATCCAAACAACGGTGACGCGCTCGGCGCCAAGTACTGTACACAAAACATAGTACTCACAGTACTCACTCTGTGAGTGCTCTGTGAGAACGTCTTCCCACCTCCTTGCGTTACCGGTTGCCGCTCGCACCATTGTGCGAACATGCGAATGCGACTGCGCAGACCAGTTCATCCATGGAGCTCACGCCTCGGAACGGCCAGCGCTAGAGTATATCATGACGAACAAGCACCGAGAGAATTTGTACTCATACCAGCGCGGGCGACGAGTTTGGACAGCGTTGCGATAGAAGCCGGGCAGTCGACGTGTGCGAGACAAATGCACACAAACATTGCCAAAGACACATGCTTGCATTGTGGACGTTGTGGCCTTCGTCACAGCTTCGTCGTCCACGAAGCAGCCGAGATTGCGAGACCAAAGGATCGTTAGCGAAAGTGCAAACTGGGTCGTTGTCATTCTCACAACCCGAGCAACGAACGGTACGTCGATCGTGTGCATCTCATTACATGCTGCGCAACAACCGAGCAACATTGGCCGTGGTGACGACCCGCCGCAATTCAACGAATCGCCACGTGGGATTGTAATATCGAAGTTCGAAGTTGGTTGCGGCCAGAGCCAGCGTGTCAGCAGACTTGTTTCTGCCCAACCCATGATGCAGCGTGGCGTTATGCTCCTCGCGATGGCCGTCGCCGCCACGACCGCTCAGACGACGCCCAACTGCTCGGCCCTCTATGAGCAGTACGCCGACCTCTCGAACGCAACCAAGACACCAACGCTCGCCAACTGCCGCCTCACGACGATCGACGCCTACTGCTCGACGCCCGCGTGCTCGCAGATCACGAACCTCGCCGCGACCATCGTGCCCTCGTGCCCGATAACCAACACGGGCCTTCTCCTCCCGAAGATTTGCGACGCGACTTGCAAGACGCTGGTCGCAACGTTCGTCAAGGCAGTCGGCGATTGCCAAACGCTGCCGCTCAAGCTCATGAGCGCCGACAACTGCCGCGGGTGCCGGAAGCTTAACTCGACGTCGTTCCAGTCCGACATGGTCTCCAGCTGCGGGCAGTCGCCGACAGGCATGTCCTTCTTCATCGAGCGCGACTCCAAGGTGTCGCAGGGCATGCTAATTTGCACGCAGGCGCCGCTCCCGACCGACACGGTCGCCGACTCGGGCAACGGCAGCACGATGTATGTGATCATCGGCATTGCCTGCGCCGTCCTTGCGATTCTCGCAGCCGTTATCTACAAGCTCAAGGCCAAGAACGACGCGGCCAAGCACAAGTTTGACTACATCAATGAGACCGAGGCCGGCGGTATGACGGCCCTCGACAACTTTGGCAACCCCGACGGCTTCCGCGTCGCCAACGATATTCGCTTCGACGAGGAGCTCTCGCAGTTCCGGATTCCTCAAAATGAAATCCAAAACGTGTCCCTGCTGGTCAAGGGCGGGTACGGCGTCGTCTTTCACGCGTCGTTTGGCAAGGACGAGGTCGCCATGAAGCAGCTTTTGCCGTCCAAGGCCAAGGACCACAACGCGATCCAGGTACATTTCTTCGTCTTTTTCACTGTTTCTGACTCTAGTTGCAGGAATTCATGAACGAAATTCGCCTCTGCGCCCGCCTTGAGCACCCCAAGATCGTCAAGTTTATTGGTATCTCGTGGTCGACGCTCCACGACCTCGCGGTCCTCTCCGAGTTCATGTCGCGCGGTAATGCATGATCCATTCCGGGACCTGCGCTCACTATCGTCCACCGTAGGCGACGTGAGCACGCTCCTCAAGAAAGACGTCAAGAAATCCGAGGGCCACCGCCTTCTCCACTGGAACTCGGGCTGCAGCCGCGAGTGCTCGACGACCAAGGGCGCGATTGCGGCCGACATTGCCGACGCGCTCGTGTACTTGCACTCGTTCCAGCCGACGATCATCCACCGCGATCTCAAGTCCAAGAACGTGCTTCTTGGCGACGACTGGACCGCCAAGCTCAGCGACTTTGGTATCTCGCGCGTCACGACGGTCGAGGAGTCGATGACGTCCAACATTGGCACGGTCGCGTGGATCGCACCCGAGGTACGGTCGCTTAACATCGAGTTAGGGTTTCTAATTCTAGTCCCTTAGGTCTTGACGGGCGGCCGCTACACGGAGAAGGCCGACATTTACAGCTTTGGCGTGCTCCTCTCGGAGCTAGACACGTGCGAAGTGCCGTACTCCAACATGTCGGGCAAGTCCAAGGACGCTCAGTTCTCGAACGCGCGTATCGCCATGATGGTGAGCGAGGGCACGCTTCGCCCTGCGTTCAGCGACCGCATCCCCGAGGCCATCCACGACCTCGCGCAGGAGTGCTTGGCTTTCGACCCGGCCGAGCGCCCCGCGGCCATGACGCTCTCGTACAAGATCCACACGATTGTCAAGAACCTTTAACCGCTAACAGCAATGCCGAGTCTGTGTACAGTGTACATGAATCGAAGACGCGTGCCCATCATCCAAGGTGTAGCTACAAAGTTGATTGAGTGCAGCGATGTACCAAAGTATCTTGATGCGGTCAAGCATAAGCACGTATAGGCTTGTTGGCGGCTCCTGGTACGCCAAAGGAGCCTTCTGGTAAGAGGCACCTCATAGCTTGCCGGTGTCAACAGGAACGAAGAATGCTTCTCGAGGAGTGCCGAGAGGACGTCCAGTGTAATGCAGTCCGTAACACTCTTTTATTGCACCGGCCTCCATCCAAGCGAATTTCGAGTCTCAGCATAGTACTAGTGCTACCAGGCGCTGTGCTAAAGCAACACACTTGCTCAACAACCGATAGACGCTTTGTGCACAGAAGCCCAGTCCGCTTGGACGTGAACGCAGACGTCTCAGCACAGTCTCACGTCGGGCTCCAACGTCAAAATATAGCGTGCGAGGAGACTGTTTTGAGAATCAGTCGCCAATTCGATCTTCGATCGAAACCACCAACTTCGACTCGTAGCATTACAAGCACCGCATGTCTACCTCTGCCAAGCCCAGTGCAAAACCACTCCTCTTCCGATGGCCCGCCGCTTCCTACTGCTCGTGGCATTGGCTGCCGGCCACGCTGCCGGGCAGACCGATGTCGCGCTTCCTGCGTGCACTAGCGCTGACAATGCGACCTTACTCGAGCCCTACAAGGCCCTGGTCGCCCCGTGCCTCGCCGCAGTGAACCAGACGTCGAATCCGGCCAACATCATCTCCAATCCTGAGCTCTTCTGCGCGTCAACGTCGTGCCAGTCGCTGTCGACAGCCGCCGGTGCTATTTTATCCAAGTGCACGCCGCCAACTTCTGTCGTGCCAGGCAAGTTCTGCGACCCGGCGTGCGTCGAGTCGATCACGGCGTGGAGGCTCCTTCGGAAACAGTGCGTTGGGATCACGTCGGCGACGTACGGTCTCTGCTACACGTGCAAGAAGTACTTGGCGTCCGTTTCATCCGTCGTTGGGACGTGCCAGATCCAGGACTCGGCCGCGGCCATCCGCCAGGATGTCGATGTGCTCGGCATGGTCAAGATCTGCGACGCGCAAACTAACCCGACGACGGCACCGGTGGCCGCGTCGTCCGACAGCAACAACACGACGTATATCGTGATCGGGTGCATCGCAGGCGTCGTGCTTCTGGGTGCTGTCGTCTTTGCCTGTCTTCGCACCAAGAAGCCGCGGGGTGACGTGTACAGTAGCAACGGGCAGTCGTACCGCGCGAATGGCTCGAACCGCCACTTGATCAACTCGGGCAACAACTCGTCGAACGGCGGCGGCACCTCGGGCAACCCATCGTCGAGTGCGCACCACATGAACACGCGGGTCGCCAACGACATTCGCTTCGACGCCGAGCTCTCGCAGTTCCGCATTCCGCAGCAGGAGATCCAAAACATCTCGCTTCTCGTCAAGGGCGGGTACGGCGTCGTCTTCCACGCGACCTTTGGCAAGCAGGACGTGGCCATGAAGCAGCTGCTGCCGTCCAAGGCCAAGGACTCGTCGGCCATCCAGGTACGCTTGGCCGTGCAGCAACGCATCGTGATGACCTCCCCTAGGACTTTATGAATGAGATTCGCCTCTGCGCGCGCCTCGAACACCCCAAGATCGTCAAGTTTGTTGGTATCTCGTGGTCGACGCTCCAGGACCTCGCGGTTCTCTCCGAGTTCATGTCAAATGGCGACGTGACGGGCCTCATTCGCAAGGAACGCAAGAAGCCCGAGGGCTCGCGCCTTCTTCAGTGGTACTCGGACGGCGTCTTTCCAGCGACCAAGACATCGATTGCTGCGGATACGGCCGACGCGCTTGTGTACCTGCACTCGTTCCAGCCGACCGTCATCCACCGCGATCTCAAGTCCAAGAACGTGCTCTTGAGTGAAACTTGGGAGGCCAAGCTCAGTGACTTTGGCATCTCGCGCGTCACGAGCCTGGAAGAGTCGATGACGTCCAACATTGGCACGATCGCGTGGATCGCGCCCGAGGTACGACGCGCGGTGCTAGGGTTACGGTTGCTAAGCCGAAGTAGGTGCTCACGGGCGGGCGCTACACGGAGAAGGCCGACATCTACAGCTTTGGCGTGCTCATGGCCGAGCTCGACACGCTCCAGGTGCCGTACGCCGACATGCTCGGCAAGTCCAAGGAGAACGGCTTCTCGAACGCGCGCCTGGCCATGATGGTCAGCGAAGGCGCGCTGCAGCCGTCGTTCACCGAGTCGATGCCGTCGGAGCTCCTCGCGCTCGCCCGCGAGTGTCTCTCGTTCCACGACAACGACCGTCCGTCGGCCGTGCAGCTGTCGTACCGCTTGCACAAGATGCTCCAGTAGTTGGAGATGGCTAGCCTTTTTAATAACTGTACTGCACCACTCGTCGTCCATGCCTCTCTGTGCACTTGGTGGACACGGCTCAGAAAGGACGGCCGCGCGCAAAGCCAGGGACAGCAAAGTTGAACTTCGAGCTTCGCCGCGTGGGTGATGTTGTTTGATTGTGGACGTTGCGACAACCGCTCGTGCTGTCTACTTTGCTTTCGACTGCAGCATGCGCATCGTCGACATCGCCCTCCTGGCCATCGCCGGCCTCGTCGCCGGCCAAAGCGATGATGCGACGCTCCCGGCCTGCGACGCCAGCGTCAGGGTCACTTACACGACCAAGTACAAGCCCTTCTTCGAAGCGTGCAGCAACGTGACGGGCGGCATCGACACTATGCTCTCCAGCCCTTTGTACTGCAAGACGCCGGCGTGTATCTCGGCCATGGAAGTCGCGCACAGCGTTCTGTCGACGTGCACACCAGCAGCGGGCAGCAACGTATACTTCACGCCTGGGAAGCATTGCGCGCCCGAATGCGTCAACAAGGCGACGCAGATCCGGACCATTCGCTCGCAGTGCCTCTCGACGAAACCGGGGGAACTCGGTCTTTGCTACCAGTGCAAGAACTATGCCATCGAGGTCAAGGCCTTCCGCGCGATTTGCGAGGTCATGGACACGGTCGAGGCGCTGCGCAACGATGCCAACATCACAGCCGCCTCTGCCGTCTGCTTTACTCCACCACCGACGACGCTTCCGCCCTCGAGCGACAGCAACAGCACAACGTACGTCATAATTGGGTGCGTTGTCGGCATTCTCTTGGTCGCTGCTGTCCTCTTTGTGTGCTTGCGCAAGAAGACGCCCAAGGGGGACGTGTACACGAGCGCTGGCAACACGACCAACGGGTCCGGGAACCTTCACTCGATGCGCCTCCGGTCGGGCGAGACGACCAACCAAACGGGTAACACGCGGGTCGCCAACGACATTCGCTTCGACGCCGAGCTCTCGCAGTTCCGCATTCCGCAGCAGGAGATCCAAAACATCTCGCTTCTCGTCAA